CCCATACCAAAAATGCACAAAGGAGAGCACAATGAGTTACACGTCTTTTCGGATGCGTCGGAGGTGGGATACGGGGTTGTGGCCCACGGTTGCTCGTCTTGGCCAGGAGGAAGAAGGCATAGCAGTATTCTGTTCGCAAAAGCCAGGGTTGCCCCTATAAAGGCAGTCTCAATACCCAGGCTAGAACTGTCCGCAGCAGTATTAGACGTAAGGGTAGCAAACGTCGACCGACTTTTGGAGACAACGCCTTGTGGTCGTGTCTGTGGTAAAACCCTAAAACAGATGTTTTTACTATAACCACAAGGGCCACTGCATTTCGCCGCACGCTGGTCAAGAGTGAAACTACCCGTTTGTGACCTAATGATGTAAAGTAGGTGGATTTTTCATCGGTATACTGAACAGTTTTGTCCAGTTTATGGTGCAATGTGAAGGTTAATACGTGTATGCATGTTTGGATGAAATGTAAACGGGAGTTGAATTCTCCCACTGTTGCCTGTAATAGTTATTTTTCAGTTGATGTGTCAATGTTCAACGACAGCCAGTAATGATGGAATGTATTGGGAGTGCGAATGTGTGAAGCTGTGGTTTATGTACCAACTTGCGACAGAGAAAAGATGTTTGATCTCGAGTCAGTTTCTCAGGATGGAAAGATTCCACGACGTCGCAATAACAGAGTGTCGCACGAATGAACAACACTTAGATAAGGACCATCGTCAACCTCCACTAAGCCATCTAGGCTATTGGTTACAATAAAAAATAAGTCCTGTAGAATGCAAGGTGCAAGATGTACATAGCTGCAAAAGATTGCCAATCGACAGATACGAATAAAAAATGTATTACAATCCTGTTCATGTTGCGAATAAGAACGTTCCTCAGTTCTACAGTGTAAGCAAAACAAAAGATAATGAGTACGTTACCAATAACGCATAACAAATGAACCAATAAACATGTACGCTTTTGACACGCCAAATAAAACGTTTTTTGTTTATTTTGTTTTTGCATATATAAAAAGATATAACCGTAAACAATATACTAACACGTTTTAAGTATTTTTGCTTTTTTGTGTTAAAAAATGCGTTGGTAATAAAACATTCCACAAAACGAGTTGGAATAGGAACAGAACGTCATGTACGAGTGGTTCTGGGGTTTGAACCAACTAAAGCAGAACGCACTGGAGGTGTTCCTGAAGTGGAGGGTAATGTGGCCAGGGTGGGAGGAATTGTCGAATCTGGCGTGGTCGACAATCGGGCGAGGGCGAGCGTTGCGGTAGTTTCTTTGGCCTTGGGGTTGTAAGGGGTTGCCGTGACGGATGTATTTCATGCTGAATTATTGAAAATCCTTCCAAACCCATGATGATTTATGGTGACATAACTCTATCTGTGTGTTGCTTCTCTATTGACATTTCTCGATCACAAACACCATACATTATTATTTATCTGTTAATTCGATGCCCGGCACATTTGAATTTTGCGTGGTGAGAGAACGTGAGCGATTGTATGCCTCTTTGTGTAAACCATATTTGGCTCGCTTGCTTGAGTGCCTTTGGCCGCATATTTGAGGTTTGCTTTATTGTACATTTGTAATAATTTCGCTAATTCAGCACCG